ATCATGATGAAAGTGGTTTTCATCAATTCAGCGTACTTTTCTTTATTAATGCTATTTTGCACGTTTTCTTTATCACTTTAGCTTATCGCACATTTAATAAACCCTTTGATTATTACATTTTGTTTCATGGCTCTATCAAAATTGTTCTTTTTAAAGCAATCCAAGCTTTTCCAAGTACTCGTCTAAGTTACGTTATCTTGATTTGCATGCACGCGTAAGCTAATTTATCTCATAATAGTTACCTTTCGAATTACATTCCAAGGCTTTTCTAAAACACAATCTCAGGAAAAGAATTCGCTCGGAGTAGAAGTGAAGGAGAATCTGCTTTACTGTAAAAATAAAATCRATCAGGAGCACATTCTCGACTTTGAGAATATGAAACGGCTTAGTCTAAAATAACGTATTTCTTTACTTGATTGCATGATATTAAGAGATCTGATCAAATCTAATCMATTTCTTTTGAAAAAAAAGAATTAAGATTATTAGTTTTATCCCACAAATCATGCTAAAAAGACCCATATAAGAGAACTCGCATAGGAACTTTGATTTCAAACCTACTGGAAGAGGTGGAGCCATGCGAAGTTGCCTTGGAATAAAGTTGTCTTTGCAATGAATGCGCTGACTCAATGGATTGTTGGGAGTATTCTCTTAAACTACCAAACTGCCTCAGCAACATGCTTGAATGTTCTATTACAATATGACCATAGTCACCCGTCCCAAGTGACGATCCAAACATCTCACGTAGAAGAAACCCCCATTCCTTGCACTGTTGACATTGAGGACATTGAAGATCTTATTAAGCAATCAGCTACGATCACTTTTATTTTGCTAGTGTAATATATGTGTCTAGCAGTATAATAGCTGACTGCATCCCAGGGGGAGAGGGGGGAATGGGCGGAGATCCGGGGCTAAAGTACCCGGGATGCTCGTCAGAAAGACCCCTAAAAGATCACAAAGTCTTAAAAAAGTGCGTGGCTGACTGATCTGTAACCCCTTAGACATTGCACAACAAATATTGTTAAATTAAATCAGTTGCATTGATAAAACCGCGGAGGAAAATCAATATCGATGCGCTCTTTCTTTTCTTTCCCGACACACTAAGAGATTGCAGAAAATGCAAATTTCCAGAAACTCCATATCTGCACCCTAAAAGATTCCTAGAATTCATGCCCCTCAGAGACCAACGAGTATCCCCGGTACTTTTACCCCTGAGTACCCCCTTCCCTTCGGGCACTGCATCGTATATATGTTACAAACCTTTAGGTCATAYACATCAATGGAGTGCTGCTCATCCTTTCCATACACCTCTTTTCTTAATATTGTGGCTATTTCTCTCCAATCAGTGAAAACCTTAAATTTCACAAAATTGTTTTATAGCATAGGCACTTGATTACAATTATCGACAAATTGATATTGTTTTCAGGAAATAAAAGGTTTATTCCCCAATTATGTTTTGTMCAATTACACTTTCAATTGTCCAATCTTCAAAATAATAATTCCGTATACCTTTTTAAAGAATTCAAGAAAAATGTGCGCTGCGTAGTCAGCCAGCATGTTACCACAACCTTCCTTTTTGTTACTTGCAGATTTTGTACTTTGAGGCTTCAATGCCGCTTTTGACAGCTGTTCAGAAATCTCCTTCTTTTTTTCCTTCCAAAGGCATATGTATTCATCCACCATTTTACCAGCATCTTACGAAGAACAATTAATTTCTATTACCATGTCATTTAGAAAAAGGTTATAATTCCAATAAATAGCATTCACACCTGAATACGAAAGCTGTACCTCCTCTTTTTCATTACCAAAATCTCTAACAAAATTGTCTTCAGTTTTAAGGCTGGAATAATACTGACAATAAAAAGAGCACACACGCATAAAAAAACACTAATCGATTAATTTAACAGATCATTATTAACGTCTTAACATTAATGAATTAATTTTACCGAATGAGTTTATTCATATAATGCTCCTTAACCATGATAATACCTTTATTCGCTGAGTGCAGAAAGAAACTTTGTTCAGTAAAAATAGTTTTGCAGCTGTTGGGTCAACAAATTCTGTCTTCACAGCTTCATGAGGCAAGCAATCATCAAGGATTTCTTCTATGTTGTCAAGGATGCGTCTTTCTGTGTTACCTCAAAATATTAGAATATACTGATAGTTATATTAGTGATCTTAACTATGGAAGTGTAAATCCAAACTTTTCAAGCATGACAGGTGTTGKGTATAACTTGATATATATTTGAAATATGAAATCAAGATCGTAGAGCTTTTCTTACCATGCTTTTTTGAGCTCTACTAGTTGTGTTATGATATGAATATGAAGACCGCATGGCACTATGATAAACACGATATAGAAATGAAAGAAAGTTATAGTGCTTAAGCACTATAACTTTCTTTCATTTCTATATCGTAGTTGTGTTATGGTTGTTGATTCGATAATATCTGATTTTAAAGATTCTCAGACTGTTTGATTTAGTACCTGAAAATGACTTAACTGTGACATTGTTCTTATTGACGACAGTTTGCTGACCTTCTTTCAGTTTCACACTAATTCTGCTTCCAGTTGTTTCTGGTCCATAGTTTGATAATGACTCATTACATTGCTTTAAGGTACCTATTCTATAGCATTGAAGCCCAAGAGATGCAATTAGATGTTCTGTGTTTCTTAACTCACAATGGAGAACACATACATTTATTGAATTCAAATCCTCTTCCAGTAAGAAGGTCAGATCATTCCTTATGCCTTTGAAATTAGTGCTGTGTAATAAGAATACAATATGTTTGAATCATGAAGGATGAGTTGGTGACAAATTCAGAATCATTTATGATATCTAGGCATAATGAGAAGAGATGAGGCATCTTGTTGAAAAAATATCTGATCTAACGAAAAAATTACTGAAATGTCATACTGTAAAAAAGATTTGTCAAAAAGTCAAACTATTTCCCGCTCAGACTTATAGTCCCCCTCGGTTGATTATGCTGCTTAGAATGCATATCATTTTTATCTATCGATGGGAAATCCCCTTCAGTCACGTTATTTCATAGCTAATCATAAGCGGTGGAAAACAATTGTTTTATTGACGTGTCAAAAACTCATAAATAATTAGCTCCATCCCAAAAGGAATTTCTGGCAATGCATAGTACTAAACAACGAAACATCGAAACGAAACGGTACCGAAACGAGATGAAACTATTTTTTTTTCAGACAAGTCAGTAAAATAAAAGTATGATATATGGTTAATAAGCTTACACAAAATTAACCATGAAAGCSGAAAAGCGAACTTGATGTAAACAAGAAGCACTTGTACATCGACAATCATTCAATGTACGCCTTGGACTCTTACCATGTAAACTTGATACTTTAAAATTGAACAGACCTTAAGAAATTTCAATTCTTTCAGAAGTTGTTCTTCGTCGGATATTATAAACTTATCCAAAAGCACTCAAGTGAAYATTAAAGCCGATTGCCAGCAAAAATCATTGATTAAACATATCAGAGAAATGAGCAATTTCCTTTCTTAGTCAAATTTCTGTAATCACAAAGTCTCGTCTTCAATAAACAAAGGAGGAAAGGCGGCCGCCGCTTTCTGCCGAATTTCTAGTAACACGATGATGTCATTTTTTGTCATACAATTCTTTGTGTAATGTGCCCACATAGGAAGACCACTAATATCAGTTCTAGAGATGTTAGGAGGTGTTTTATCCATCGATTTACAGCTGCAAATAAGGCATCAGATTTATAGACGTGGCAAAGGATCAAGTTTCATCAATTTATAAAGTAATTTAAGACTATAATTTTGTTCAGTTCTTTATTTTAAATCTCCAAACCGAATCACATTAAAAAAATGCAAAAAAGTTTTAGTRRGTATAAAAATGTAATTCGTACTATTTACAGATTAGCTGATTAAGGTTATAATGCGTTCGTCCAACTGAACAAAAATTGACAAAATCAATAAATTCAGAGTGCAATATTCTCATAAATTCTTTTGTATAACATTTTCGAGCTAAATGTTATATAATACGACTGTATTGTTCGCATGTCAATAATAAAAGGTTGTGTTTACTGACACATACATTAAAGGCTATCCATGAATTGACAAAGTAGTGCTAGAATCATGTTCTTCTATATTGATACTGGAGCTCCGCTATAAGTTACCTAGTTTTTTTAAATAATTATTTTATTTATGGTTAATGTTAAAATTAGGTAACCATACTCTCACTTTGCTGCCCTGTCTAAATGTGTTTCGGTGTCGTTGTACAGCACTGYCCAACAAAGCGTAAAGATATTTTTGTGTGTGTGTCAGGATATATAATATGTGAGTAATATTTCCAAACCGGCCAAAAAAAGTTTAGTGATAGAAAGGAGCTTCAACACCAAGAATGTTTTGTGTCAATATTTTCATGGATTTCAAGAGCAAATTAAAAGGTAAAGGAAAGGATTGTTGAAAAAAAGACAATGAATAAGCAATACCGATTGTATTGGGAAGACCATACAGCAAGGAAATGCAGAAATCAAGTTCGAATTATCAATTAATTTGATGATAATGTAAAATAATGACTGAATGCATTAGGAGTGCTCTGTGAGTGAAGTTTTTCTTTGGTGATAAATGTATAGCTTTCCTTCAAGTGTTCACTCAATCTCAAATTAAAGGAAAACGTTTCTTAATATAGGTATACCTTGCATAATAGAACACAACTGGTTACATTTCCATTTTAATATACCTTCCTATATTAGCCTTGGTGTCACTAAAATGTTTTAGACATACCGTGCTTGGGCCAATGTTACAAATGCAGTTCTGTTAAAGATGAACAGATGTTACTTATTAGTGAAATCACTAAAGTAAGTCAGTGACCTTTGATGAAAACCTTTATTGGTTATGAAAAACATATCAACACTGTTAATGGATGCTGATATGAATATGTGTCTTATATTACCCTCTTGGCGTGGCATATAAAGCAAAACTCAACTTCCAGTCCTTTTCCTCCAAGCACAAAATCTTCCTCACCTTCTTTTTCCAAAAGAAGGTGTAGCGCTTTCAAGTCTAGAGTCACTATAAAAACAAAAGACGAAGAACGATACATTTAATTTGGGAAATACTAGTGCTACTCGGGTCTACATACGTATGCATTACTCACTCACATGCTTTTTAGTTTTTGGTAGGGGGGGGGGACAATTCATCGAGAGAAAACACTTGTAGCAAACACAGCATTTACAATTGTCATCATAAGATTTATCATGATCTAACAAACCTGCTGCAATGCTTGTTGTGTATTCAATCCATGCGCAAAAGGTTGGGAAGCTACTTATCATTCTTTAATACCAGCAAGGACTAACTTTATTACCTTTAAATGAGACAGTATAATGCTTGCCATCAACATCGATTCCACTATCTTTGATGAGCTTTTTTTCTTTATTCAGCTTGGCAACAAGGCTTTTAAGGTTTTTTCTATTGAGTAAATGATACCAGTTTTTAAATTGTCGAAAGAGCACAAATSCTTCAGAGATATCTACAATCCTAACCTATTTTCTTCACAATTTGCTATTGCCAGCGGGAGAAAGGATTTACAACTGTGGTTTGACCAGTGAGCAGTACTTGAGGGTATAATGCCAACTAGTACCTGTTTTCTTCCTATGGAGTAGAACAAATAATGTCTACCTGCTATTTTTTGTAACCACAGTTATTCGACTTTGAGTGTGTCAGCATTGAGCCAAGAGATATCGTTAGTGTAGTATCACAAGTGTTATAAAGAAAACAGGTCATAACTGAAATGCGTACTACGAGCTGTCTTGTATCGTCGAGAGACTTAATTCAAGTTAACAGCGGGGAGGAAGTGAAAAGGTGCTTTTGTCAGACTGTTTTAGGTAATCGTAATTTTACAAGTTGAGACTTATCCATGCAGGATCTTAAGTTTAGAAGGTTTGGGATTTTAGTTTCAGAATTCAATTGCTGCAAAACTGTGTATCGATCAAGTATGTATCCTTTTAAAATATTAATGAATATATAAATATGCATTAGTTTCTCTATTCATACCGGAAAAAGGTCTTCCATCCAGCTTGATGTTCAGTTGTATGTGTTCAGTGTTGTGACCATGCAGTCGTAGCTCTCTTGCTTGCCAGTGAATAACTGGCTGAAGAGATACATCATACCCTGGTGTATCATCATCTTCTATTGGTTTCACAGTGAACAGGTCTTCAACTTTGCCAAAGACATGACTTTTCACAGCCTTAATACAATTTTTAGACAATAGCACTTGAGCCCTGGATGACCTCTACAAAGCAATTATAATAATTAAATTCCACTTTCAGCATGTATTGTTACGACTTGACGATACCGTTCAATAAAACTAAGCTTTTCTTTTAAAAAAATAACTACTACCACAACGTGTTGTCCAAACATACAGTAACTTTAGTCCCTGCGCAAACAGTGCATCATCCGCCGCCTCCGATGGAAGTAGGCGACCCGGTCCTAGCTGTGTAAAGTAATTCAGGCCATAGATGTATCCGATGTCGGCGTTATATATACTGATTTTTTACGGTAAGAGATTTTCAACGCTTAGATGGACGTCAAATATATTTATTGGGTCACTATTCGTCTACAGTCTTTCCTGTTTCAGCCTTCAAAACTATAATTACTCAGAGTTTCAAAGGAATCCCGAGTTTACTTTCCGGCCTTCTATTTTTTTCATTGTCGTCGTCGCTTACCAGTCACAAATTGTCCACAGGTAGCCCAAGCTCAGCACTTGTCGGCGAGAATAACGCGTGATCGAAGAATTTATTCAACAAAGTACAAATACGCTCAAATCACTTACAAATCCACACATTCGTGGTATAGCCCATTAAAATATTCCGAGCGTATTTTCGAAAGGGTATCGTGAGACTTATCGTGAAATTTATCGTATTGCCATATGATATCGTGAATTGTAGTCCATCAAACAAGCAACCTATCTTATCAAAAGCGAACTCTATACTAACATACTGAGTACATTGTTTTGTTATTATTATTTTCACCTCAGGAAACATTTTTGCTTTAGCTTTTTGATAGTATTAATATTAAGTATTAGGGTTCAATACAGTCCAATACTCCAGTTTCGAGATCTAATTTGTGCAGCCTTAACCTGTAATATATTCATTTATTCAGCAGAGATGCTATTGTAATRCAAACACTCTGTGTGCTTGATTGAAGCTAAGCTTGCACAAAAGGAACGAAGTGGTTTTAACAGAAAGTAATTAACCATATTTACTATTGGAAGATTCTGTCTTTCTCTTTCGACTGATTTTCCTCTTTCTCATCTTGCTTGGATCACTTTCTGCTGCAATCAGTCGTTTGGTTAGTCCATCTGCATTTCTGTGTATTCGGCACTTATCTTTGTTACAAATCATACAGTAGCTCTTCCCAAAAGTTAGTGGTGGAAGTTCCGAAAAGGGAAAATAACTGAAAGCAATAGTAACATTAATTCCTATCTGTTTGTTTTGGACAGCGTCGTGCTAAAATACGAAATCCACCTATCTTCTCGATCTCGCACCTGTGACAAATAAAGCTCATATCACGGTATTCCTGGCGTCAGGATGAACTCGTCTTCCACATCGGAAAATTGGCATTCCGAAGGATCTTTTACTGGACTCTTGCATTCTTAGGCCCTTGCCAGTTAGTCTTGAAAGGCTGTTATCTTGGTAGGATAATTTGTGATTCCTTCAAAACTGGGAAAGTGGGCAATATACTTGACCATATTTGCAAACAAATGACATTCCTTYGGACTTAGCTAAGTGTTGGTTTCTCCAAGTCTAGTAAATACTAGTTTGAATTGTTCCAGCATTCCGTTGAAAGTCTTTGAATACATAATCACATTATCCACGTAAATCAACAAGATCTCCTATAGCAACCCGGTCCATTGCACAAGCCAAATTGCAATACTTTTAATTTGCAAAGTCTATCGTCTGTAACCGTCGTAAATGAAGTCATTGGTTTGTCATCTTCTACTTCCTTTACTTGCCATTAGCCACTGGACATGTCTAGTGCCGGAAACCAGCACGATCCACAAGTGCGTCCCAGGTGTCAKCAGTGTGTTGGAGTGGAAACGAATCCATGATAGTGACTGCATTAACCTTACTATAGTCATGGGAGAGGCGATTCGAAGCATTGGCCTTCTGCACAAGGATTGGAAAGCCCCAGAGACTACGCAATGGCTCAACGACCTCCTCTGTGCCTCCAGCCTCTTGTTTAATGGTAAGCTTGTTGTTTGATTGTTTGGAAGTTACCAGTCTTTATCCTGGGTGAAAAGGCTGGTCTTTTCATTGTCATCTATATACATGTATAAGTAATATAAGTTTTAATATATGAATATGAGGACCGCATGGCATTATGAGATCCATGATAGAGAAATAGAGGAAAGTTATACTGCTGAGAAGTTGGTTTAACTTTAGCCTGATCAACGGGGACGATAAAATTTATTTCTAAAAGACGTTCTTTTTTCTATGACCTCACAAGTAATCGAAATTTCAAGCTAAAGGGATTTTGGCATGGTGATCGACACAACTTTACAAAAAATGTGATTGTGACAACTTAATAACGTAATAATACTACATTTGGCACTGAAGCTATTTTATGACCCACAAAGGACTAACAACCACAACACAAAATCGTTGTCTAACACACGTTTTAATCCTACTTCTGTCTTAATTTACGGAGGTAATTAAACCAAAACATACATTGCGTTCCCTCCCTTTCTTCAAGTGAAATACAAATAACAAACAAAAAATAAATAAATAAATAAATAAATAAATGCATTTGTTTTCCATTCCGTGCTGTTATCTTGTATTAGTTTTCCTCATAAGCTGGTGCTAGCTTTTTTCGTTCCTTTCTCTTTTTTTTGTTACAAGCAGGTCAAGTGGAAGCTCTTTTCAAGGCTGGTCTGGCAATTCGATGATTCCATTGCTGGCAAGCTGTAGTGACTTGTCACAACCTGGCTACTATGGCATTCTCTACACTTGGAGACTCGCGGTCCATCCCCGCCCATCAATCTTTGGATTTGAGTCGTTCCTTAGTCTTCACATTTCCATGATGGCCCAAGTGAGCCAAATCTGTGTTCGTTTCCTTACACTCTTCTGGATAACAATTTTGTTTCAACGAAGGAGGAATTTTTTTCAATATAGGTCAACTCGTTCCGAACTATGACATACTCTTTAGGTGTACTGTTCCAGTTTTCCACTAACTAAGCATGCTCTCACTGCCTGTTATTCCTTGTCTTTGCTGATGCTTGTTCTATTTCCTTAGTGCTGAGTGCTACTGGAACAGCATGGATTGCAACCATGCGAGCGTATTCGTCATCATACTTACCATCTTTTCCCGTGTCTGCTTTGTCAATCCGGACTCTGCATTCGCGATGCTGTCTCTTTTAAAAATTAAGATTAAAAATGGCTGTAATTTAAAAACCCGTCTTTGAATTCGTGCAGATGGTTTGGAAATATTAGAGTAGATGCCTTTTAAACCGAGACTGAGTAAAAGAATGAGAAATGTAACTTATATGTAGTCAGCGAGTCTTTTGACAAGAGCACGAGGCCAGATCTGGAGGTATCAACTTTTCTATACCGCTTACAACAGTTCCAAGCGCCATCTTGAAAGGTAATCATAACGAGGCAGGAGTTGATCTTGCACTGATAGATACCTTTTGTACTCACCTAAGACAATTACACACAGGTATCTATCAATGCAAGCTCAACTTCTGTCTCGCTTTGATGCGAAGGCTTGGCTACATTTCACGATGGCGAAATGAAGTGTAAAATGTAGATACGACAAAAAACATTTTATGAAATGAACGAAAGCAGGAATACAAGCGGGCAGGAGGGTGATAGAATTAATATTAAACTATTACACTCTTAGGAAACACTTTTTGATTTTAGTTGTATTGACTTAAACATTTAAAGTTAATAACTAATTGAATAAGCAATTGAATAAGTTAAATTTGGTATATGGAGGAGATGATATGGTCTTCCTGTGTAAATGCGTACACGTGTCATTGAATCTGAGTCTAGCCGTCTTGTTTTAGTCCAGTCATCTTAGTAAATAGATGATAAATTTTACTTATAAATTTCCGATTGGTATCTTTTCGCTCTTTTACTTTTGCTAATAATTAAAAAAAAGAATTTTTCTTAGAAATCACTTTCGTCTAATTAATGTAGTTCTTTTGTATTATCGACAATAATTCTTTTGATTATAGATAAAAATTAAGTATAATACAAGCTTCGACCAAGGGCGCCAGGACAACAATAACAGTTTTGAATGATATTACGATTGTATTTGTTATAACTTTGAGTATCTTGGGAATTCACTTATCTGACTTCTTTGTGTATATCTTGAGTGTATCCAGAATATAGATAAATAGATTTTTGGCGATTATTGGGCAATTTTCTCCACTCCTAAAGGTCAAAAGCTGTACGTGTTTATTTCAGTACGACACGTTATTCAACGGCCGTTAGTTACGTCCTGGTATGTATCGTCCGCTTATGCAACCGCGCGATGTAATCTACGTCACTAATATCGTTAATATAGTTAAGGAATTTACCCTAAGTTCACTAAAATACCCCGGGGTGGGCAACTAGGCCGCTTGCCATTGTTCTCTCGTCTGCTGGGTTAATCCCATTATTCTGACATGTGGGGTGGTCATCTATTTACACAACGATGACAGATACGACTGCAACAACCAATGAAAAGAGAGGCCATTGCGGTAAAACGAGCTTCTTCAGTTCTTCGCAACCGGACGTCAGCGGAAAAAACATCGGGGTAATCTGAAACGAGCGTACGTGATGCAATTATAAAACATCGGCGCTGTGAGACAGTGGTCAAAAATCCTTATAAAAAAACGTGTCGAATAAAAACTGTATCATTTGTAATTACCCCGCAATAATAAACCACTGATCCGTTGCACACAGCTTCCGCGAAATGTCAATCATCAGTTCTGCTATTGACCACCACTCGTCCAGATCGCGCAATAACGTGACCGCATCGGCTTTGTTGCTTTTATTGCTTTGATGCCTTCGCATCAAAGCGAGACAGAAGTTGAGCTTGCATTGATAGATACCTGTGTGTAATTGTCTTAGGTGAGTACAAAAGGTATCTATCAGTGCAAGATCAACTCCTGCCTCGTTATGATTACCTTTCAAGATAGCGCTTGGAACTGTTGTAAGCGGTATAGAGAAGTTGATACCTCCAGATCTGGCCTCGTGCTCTCGTCAAAAGACTCGCTGACTACATATAAGTTACATTTGTCATTCTTTTACTCAGTCTCGGTTTAAAAGGCATCTACTCTAATATTTCCAAACCATCTGCACGAATTCAAAGACGGGTTTTTAAATTACAGCCATTTTTAATCTTAATTTTTAAAAGAGACAGCATCGCGAATGCAGAGTCCGGATTGACAAAACAGACACCGGGAAAAGATGTTAAGTATGATGACGAATGCGTTTGCATGGTTGCAATCCATGCTGTTCCAGTAGCACTCAGCACTAAGGAAATAGAACAAGCATCAGCAAAGACAAGGAATAACAGGGAGTGAGAGCATGCTTAGTTAGTGGAAAACTGGAACAGTACACCTAAAGAGTATGTCATAGTTCGGAACGAGTTGACCTATATTGGAAAAAATTCCTCGTTTTACCGCTATGTCCTCTCTTTTCATTGGCTGTTGCAGTCGTATCTGTCATCGTTGTGTAAATAGATGACCACCCCACATGTCAGAATAATGGGATTAACCCAGCAGACGAGAGAACAATGGCAAGCGGCCTAGTTGCCCACCCCGGGGTATTTTAGTGAACTTAGGGTAAATTCCTTAACTATATTAACGATATTAGTGACGTAGATTACATCGCGTGGTTGCATAAGCGGACGGTACATACCAGTACGTAACTAACGGCCGTTGAATAACGTGGCGTACTGAAATAAACACGTACAGCTTTTGACCTTTAGGAGTGGAGAAAATTGCCCACAAATCGCCAAAAATCTATCTATGTATCCAAGGGAATTCTGAATACACTCAAGATATACACAAAGAAGTCAGATAAGTGAATTTCTAAGATACTCAAAGTTATAACAAATACAATCGTTGTAATATCATTCAAAACTGTTATGGTTGCCCTGGCGCCCTTGCTTCGACGACATAATTGTTAATGACGAATGATGAATATATAAAGTAACCATCTAACAATTCGTGGAGTCAAGTCAAGGAACGTAGTGAAAACAAACGATATGATTGGTCAAGATTAGAACTTACACCTTTTTTTCCTAACTCAGTGACATTTAAGATTTTTTGCCATCCATCATCCGAAATTGGGATTTGCAATTTTAGCAAGAGAAGCTGCCAGTCTGGTACAGTCATAGCCTGGACTTGCTTTTCGACGATTTCTTTTGGTATGCATTCCTGAAGGGTCTTCTTTATTCCAAAAGTGTTCTCAACTTCATAAATGACATCCTGGATAATCTTCCTACTCCTATTTGGAAGTTCACCCCTGGAAAGAACACAACAACGCGACAAAACATTGCACAACGTTTCGCCATTGTCATCGCAAATCTTGTGAATTTCTTTCATAATGTTTTCACATTTTTCCCTGATCTTTCTTTTTTTATATTCTGGCTTGTAATCGTGTTCCTCTATTTCCTTGAAAGAGCAAGACAAAGAGGAAGACGAAGACGAATTTGAAGGCGATAGGTATAATTTCGGAGAGCTTCCGGCATCTGAGGCATTTGGTGACTGACCTTTTGGTGTTTCTGGTATTGCTGGTGCAGAATTATTGCTGCCGTAGACTTTTGATTGCGTTATGAAAGAAAGTTTGGTGTTGGAATGTTCCGAATTACAA